TAATAAAAACAAACAAGCAAGCATATATGGTAAGTTTCCAGTAGGCTTGAATGGACAGAGAGAAGTTTATTTAAGAAAATTATGCCTATAAAAACACTTTCCATATTGTTTAGAATCATAGAGTTGGAAGGGGCCATACAGACCATTTAGTCCAACCCCCTGCTCATTGCAGGACCAGCCTAAAGCATCTCTGACAAATATTCATCCAGTCTCTTCTTGAAAGCTGTCAGTGAAGGGGAGCTTTACCACCTCCCTAGGCAGCTGATTCCACTTTTGAACCACACCTCCCTCCAATCTGATGAAACATCATTGACCACCACTCTTTGGATGCAGTCCTCTAACCAGTTCCCTATCCACCGAATTGTCCTATAGTCCAGTCCACAGTCTTCCAGTTTTCCCATCAGAATGTCATGGGGAACCTTATCAAAAGCTTTACTGAAATCCAGGTAAATCACATCAACAGAGTTCCCACGATCCAGTAAGCTCGTCACATGATTGAAGAAGGAAATCAGGTTGGTCTGACAAGATCTGTTGGGGACAAAACCATGCTGACTTCCCCAGATCACTAAGTGGTCCTTCAGATGCTTACAGATCGATCCCTTTAAAATCTGCTCTAATATCATCCCATCAACAGAAGTCAGACTGAGTGGCCTTTAGTTTCCCAGGTCATCCTTCTTCCCTTTCTTAAAGACTGGGATAACATTTACTCTTCTCCAATCTTGTGGCACATCCCCAGTCCTCCAGGAGGCCTTGAAGATGATGGACAGAGGCTCTGCAAGTTCCTTAGAAAGTTCTTTGAGCACTCTTGGGTGCACACCATCTGGCCCAAGGAATTTGTATTCATCCAGTGCAGCCAGGTGCCTCTCCACAACCTCCCTATCAATGTCAACTGGACACTCATACTTATTTACCAAATTTGCCATCAGAGACAATACAGGTTCAAAATTAACATTATATTGTGCATAATATATGTATGTGTGTGTTAAGTGCCATCATGTTGCTTCCAACTTATGGTGCCGCTATGAATTAATGACCTCCAAAACGTCCTGTTGTTAACAGCCTTGCTCAGGTCTTGCAATCTGAAGGCTGTGGCTTCCTTGACTGAATCAATCTATCTCATGTTGGGTTTTCCTCTTTTTCTGCTGCCGTCAGGCTTTCCTAGCATTATTGCCTTTTCCAATGCCTCCTGTCTTCTCATAATGTGACCAAAGTACAATGGCCTCAGCCTAGTCATTTTAGCTTCTAGGGAGAGTTCAGGCTTGATTTGATCTAGCACCCACATTTCAAAGGAATCTACTTTCTTCCAGTCAGCTTTCTTCATTGACCAATTCTCACACCAATACATAATAACAGGGATACTACTGCATGAATCACCTTGATCTTGCAGTGACACACCCTTGCATCTAAAAATCTTTTCTATTTCCTTCATGTCTGCCCTTCCCAGTCTCAATCTTCTTCTGATTTCTTGGTTGCAGTCTTCTTTTTGATTGATGATGGAGCCAAGGAATAGAAACTCTTTTAACAATTTCAATTTCTTTATCAACATCCTTAAAATTGTGTAATTCCCCAGGAGTCATTACTTTCATCTTCTTGATGCGCAGCTGTAATCCTGCTTTGGCACTTTCTACTTCAACCTCCAGAAGCAGTCGTTTCAAGTCTTCACTTTTTTCTGCTAGTAATGTAGTGTCATCAACAAATCTCAAACGGTTAATGTTCCATTTTTCAATCCACCTTCATCTAAACCTAATCCAGTTTTCCTTGTGATATATTGTGCATACAAATTGAATAGGGAGATAAAATACAACCTTGTCTGACACCTTCGCCAATTGGAAACCATTCTGTTTCTCCATATTCTGTCCTAACAGTAGCCTCCTGTCCACAGAATCAGTTACACATCAAAACAATCAAATGTGGGATACCCATTTTTTAAAAATCAACCATAGCTTTTCATGATCCACACAGTCAAAAGCTTTGCTGGAATCTATGAAACACAAGCTGATTTTCTTCTGAAATTCTCCTGTATGCTCCAGTAACCAAGGTAAATTTGCAATGTAAAATTTTGAGCATCACTTTACTCATGTGAGAAATTAATGCGATGATCCAATAGTCTCTGATGTCTCCTTTTAAAAGGAATTGGAATGTAAGTTGAGCATGTCCATTCTGTGGGCTTTTGTTTTATTTTCTATATCTGTTGACATATTCTTGTTAAGATTTTGATGGACTCCGTTTCTGTAGCTTGGGATACTATAGTTCTACTGATATCCCATCTACTCCTGAGGATTTGTTTCTCCCAACTGCTCTCAGTGCAGCTTTCACTTCATTTACTAAAACTGTAGGCTCTTCTTCAAAAGTCTGAAGGAATCTGTCATCCTTTCATCTATTCTGTATAGTTCTTCAGTGTACTGTTCTCATGTTTTCTTTGTTTTGCCCTGTTCAATTAACGTACTTCTGTGTTCATCTTTCAGCATGCCTAACCATGTTCTAAATTTTCCTTTGATTTATTGGATCTTGTGAAACAGATCTCTTGTTCTTCCTTTTTTGTAGTTCTCTTCTATTTTTTTAATAGTGATTATTATAATAGCTCTCTGTGACTGTATATGCAAGTTGCTGGAATGCTGAGTTTAGACTTCTAATTCTATTTCTGTCACCTTTTACTTTTGCTTCTTGTCTACCTTTAGCAATTTTAAGAGTTTCAATCAGTTATCCATTGAGGTTTTTGTTTTCATTTGGCTACAGGAATAGTCTTCATGCATTCTTTCTTGGTTTCAACCCATATTCATATAGTAAACAGCAACTGATATTTTCAAAGCCTAAGTATTTTAAAGGAGAAATATCTGAATGCATATTTATATTTCTTTCTAACCTACCATTCTAGCAGAACTGCAACTGGTCACTCCTCCCCCACCCTGTAAAAGAATCTTTTTTAAAAAACAGATACATAGAAACAAAAGGTTTCTTTGCCTGTACCAAAGGAACAAAACTACTAAAACACAGAGCTATATTGAGATGGCTATCCTCTTCAACACCCAGCCTCTATAGGCTACAGCCCTCTGAATGAACACGTCAGACGTTTATTTCCAGGTGTCAAGTGAAAACCTTGGATCCCAAAGATTGCTCACATTTTTGTTTTAAGATCTTTATTTAAGATCAGCCTAATTATTGTTGAAATGAGTACGTATGACAAAAAATATCCTTGCATATGTACATGAAATCAGAAACAGAAATACATACATATCATTCCTTATCTTATCTAAAGACTAAAATATAAGATACATTTCTGAGATTCTCACTAAAGTGCTTTCAGAAAGATTATATAGTCTCATGCAACCTACATCTGAGAGATTCAGGGATGTTTTGGGTGCGGGTATCTTATATAGGCCCAATTACATGAAATCCACATGACATAACCATACCAAAAGCTTCTGACTTGTAACTTCTAATTGTACAAGGTGAGTGTTTCTCTGAGAACAGAAGAAGTCTCTTACCGAAATATGTGTATCAAAACTGTGAACTATTAGACCAGATTGTTCAGAGATTTTTCTGGGCATCAATCCATCTATTCAAACTCTCTCTTCTTCCCAAGGATGGGACATTGAGTACACAACTGAGAAAGTAAAATGTGTATGTTTTGCAAATTGGAAAACTAAAGCAAATTATCAGGGCTGCTGTTCGTTTAACCAGGACCTCTGACAAGAGTCTGAGACAGAACCTTCAGACCCAAATAGGAAAAAAAACATGCTTAACCTAAGAAGGGCCCTAAGTTCTCTCATCACAAAATCTAAAATAGTAAGAACTGTCCTCTTTTTGTTATTTGGATCATTGCATATTCTACCTATGACTCTCTCTGTGTGTTACACCAGCAGCCCGGGTGCCATTGCAGCATGTCTTCCCTATTCCTGACATAATGCAATAAAGGTTCCTCAGTTGCCAATACAACATCTGACTCTCTTTGACTGGGCTGTTCACTTAAGTAAAATCTTATATAAAATTAGTCAAAGCAAACTTTCAGAGATGTAACTTGTATTGTTTAGGTGTTAAAGCTATGGAGGGACTATAAACATCTTGCAAGCTAAATAAGCACAGTGGGATGTACAGTTAAGCAGAGCAATTGTCCTAATGAGGAATGGGCCAGTCAAACCAGAATCTGATGGTGGATCTGGGTGCCTAATCAGATTGGCCCCACAGCAGGTGAAATTTTGATTTATTTTATTGTTAGACTGCTTTAATATTTCAAAAGCACTTAACAAGTTTTTACAAAAAACACACAACCCAAAGCAATACAATCTCCTCAAAATCACCATTAAAAACAGAACACAGTTTTGGGATGACTTACTAAAATGTGTTTAGAAGTTCATCTTGTTCTACACATCTCTCACTCTCTAAAGGCTTTGGGGCAGTCAAACTGCTGTACCCTTGATGCTCTGCTACTCTGAAAGCACTGTCCTCATAAAGAAGCATTCCAAGCCTCTGTATAAACTAAGGTCTATACTAGCACGAGGCCTTGGTTCCATGATTATCTCTTGGATTACTCTGCAGGAATGTGAAGAAGCTGTGCTACAGGCAGGAAGGGCCCACCCAGACTGTGTAGGCCTCCAGCCTGCCTAGGGACATGCAGACACTAGCATTATTGGCAAGTTGTCAGCATTCTGAGATCTAGCAGGTTCTAAGAAGGGGGCTTATGGGATTTGTCTGCATCTGCCCAGTTCCAGAAAACCAATAATCTGACAAAATTCAGAAGGTGCTACAAGGTATTTCATGCAATAGAGACTGCACATAGTTTACAGAATACATATGATAGGAGCCTATATCTCTAAATGGCTGGTGCTCTAGAACAGTTTCGCTGTAGTGGAGATGGCCAAGAGTACACCACCCTCGCAAACACCCTGAATCCAACTGCACAGCCTGGTTGCTGGATGAGCATTCTCACATTCCCACCACCTAGACACACATATTCTAGCCTATTACATCCTTATTTACAACACAAGCACAGACCAACTTACTTTTCAAGATGAACAGTAATGAAGGGAGAACACAGGTTTCCTGTAGACTTTGCTAAACCCAGGGCCACAATGGACTCATGCAGCTGATTCAATGTTTCAACATCACCTCGCAAGGCCACACCATTAAGGAGGTGGAAAAAAGATGTGACAGTTGTATCTTTAATAGGGACATCCTTCTCTTTCATCTCCTTTAAAACGTTAATAGCATCTACAATGAAATATCACAAAAGACCCTTAGGTAATTTCATGTAGAGAGAAAACAAACTGCTATTAAAACAGCATTTCAAAAACCAGAGGAATGAAAATTCTGGTGTATAATGCCAATTTCAAGTTAATTACTACTTGCATTTCTAAACGAGACTACAATTATGAATCCACAATAGCATGGTTTTATCATTTTGCTGCAACTTTGACTACAAATTACAGATAGGAACTGTGTGCCCACTCTGCACCACATAACCCTGTAGAGTCTGCCCTATAGCAACAAGATCCTACTAAATGGATGCTTTTATCGCTCAGTGCTAACATCTGCTAAATCACACCATTGTTTCTTCAGCAGATGGCTTGTCACGAGGCCAGATAATAAAGATGTGTTTACACTGTATATACAGCTAGACTAATGGTCTGATACCGATAGGGCCTGTTTGCTGTGTCGATACTAATTAGCCAAGGAGAGCCAATGAAAGCTTTCTAAGAGAGTGCATGTTAAAACATTAGGTTCATTAAGCTTCATTAGGAAGGCAGAAACAAACATTTTGGTATATGGAATAAGTGCATTTTTTGTAATGTTCTTAATTATTGCACAGGCAAAATGTTTTGACCACTTTACATAAAAGCAGGCTCATCTTTTGAAACTGCCTGCTGCAGCATGCTGTGTGCTTTAGAAAACAAACACGATATTATCTTTTCATTGCATAGATAGCGATGATCTAATTTTATCATCTTTGGAGATGAAAACTCACCCCCAAACAATCCAAATTTATACTGTATCCTTTCAACTAAGGGAACATAGTATAAATGTTCTGTTGAATATTATTACATGTTGTCAGACTGCTTTTTTAAAAATAATTATGGTAATGTCCTATTGGTCGCAAACATCATTTATTATGAAATCAATATTCAAAGCAAAATAATGTATTACAGGCAATATATTCATTATCAAAAGCAACAAAAATAAGCCTTAATTTAGCCATAAAATTCAGATGTTGCTTGTAAGATGTGGTGCTAATAAAATATAAGATGACAAATTTAAAGATCTTAATATTATAGTACATTTATTTTAAAAGTTGCAGATATTTTTTTTCATGGAGTGTTTAGACCCTTTACAAGGAGGTTATGTTTATAGGCTTTACGCTCAGACTTCAGACCTTCTTAAGCAAAAAACAAAGCCATTAGTCTAGGCACATACGCAATTTGTGCCATAAGTCATGATCTTCAAACTCAATCCAAACAGTAATGCTAATAAAAACTAGCTGCAGAAATGCAAAAAGCACTGAGCTGTGCAAATGTAAATGACAAGCTTGCCAATCCATTAAAACTAATGGCCTACACTGTCCAAGTATCTCTGGTTGAATTCACATGCAAATTTGTATGCAAAATGTTCAAGCACTTTGCAGGACATGATATACCATTAATATCAACTCACATTTTTATTCTGGTGGTGGCAAGATACCTTTATTATATAGCCGATAAATACACTGAAAGCAAGAATACTTACCTTCCAGTCTGCCACATTTCACCAAAACTTTCACCAAAGCTACATACTTTGTTGCATCAAGAACAGCAGATGAATCTTTACGGTAGCTAAAATACATTTAAAAGAAACTGCATCAACTTTCTGTTGTTGATCATGATGGAATAATAATTAAAATTTTAATTTCTAACACGTTACTGGGAACTAGACATTATGAAACAGTGAGAGAAACCCAGCCTGAAAACATTTAGGTTGCATTCAGATGTCACAATAAACAGTTGGTCCATGGTCGTAACACACACATTTTGTTGCCATGCCTGCGTGCTTGCCTCACTTCTCTCTGCTCGTCACACTGCACACAGGCTTCCAGGCTTTGGAAGGCAATGAATCAAGCTTCTCGTTTTCTCACAGTACAAGAACTCATGGGCACCCAATGAAATTAATGAACAGATCAAAGGAAGTACTTCTTCACCCAAAGAGTATTAACTAGTGGAATTCACTGCCGCAGGAAGTGGCAGTGGCTATAAGCTCTTCAAGAGGAGATTGGATAAACATATGGAGCACAGGTCCATCAGTGGCTATTAGCCACAACATATAGATGGAACACATATAGATGGAACACATCTAGCACAGTGATGCTCTGTATTCTTGGTGCTTGGGGGGGCAACAGTGGGAGGGTTTCTGGAGTTCTGGCCTTGCTGCTGGACCTCCTGATAGCACCTGGATTTTGGCTGCTGTGTGACACAGTGTTGGACTGGATGGGCCACTGACCTGATCCAACATGGCTTCTCTTATGTCCTTAAGTTGCAATTCACCACGAGATACAAATGGAGTTTGTTTCTGCCTCACAAACTGAAGTTCTAAAATCAGGATTTAATCCCAATTTAGAATTCTGGTTGGAGGTGTATGGAGAGGAAGAGACAAGCTCCTATTCACCAGGTTCTCGTATGTCCTTAAGTTGCAATTCACCACGAGATACAAATGGAGTTTGTTTCTGCCTCACAAACTGAAGTTCTAAAATCAGGATTTAATCCCAATTTAGAATTCTGGTTGGAGGTGTATGGAGAGGAAGAGACAAGCTCCTATTCATCAGGCATCATCTATATATCTAATAGCGAAGGCGCCCCCTGCGTGCGGATATCTAAATCCGCACATCGAGGGCACCTGAAGGCAGTGTTCCCTTTAAGCTGAGTTAGTGTGAGCTAGTTCACAGTTTTTTAGCCTCTGGCTAACACATTTTTGTCCTGGCTTGAGAAAGATGGCTCCCAGATCAAACTAATTTATGCAGTAGCCAAATGGCTCACTCACAACTTTAATGCCAGGAGCTCACAAAGTAGAATTTTTGCTCACAAGACTCCACAGCTTAGAGGGAACATTGCCTGGAGGGCAGGGAGATTTTCCTGTACATCTAGGGTGATCATCAGATGTGCAGAAAAATCTAAAAACTGTAAAAAAGTATAGGGGGGATACTGAAATCCCCCCAAAAGTAAAAGAACGACCCCTGCGCATGCGCAGGGAACGCTCTTGGAACAGCTTCGGCAGCAGCGGGAGGGGAAGTGTGGGGGGAGAAGGCTTGGGCGACTGGTGAGGCCTCGCCACCGCCGGGGGAGGAAGAAGAACGTTGGGCAGGCTGACGAGGCCTCGCCACCGGGGGGAGGGAGAGAGGGAAGGAGAAATTTCAGCGGGCTGGGAAGGGGGAAAGCTTGGCGGGCCGGCAAAGCCTCGCCGACGCCACTGGGGGGGAGGAGAAATTTCGGTGGGACGGCGAGGCTTTGCTGCCTGGGGGGGGAGGAGGGAGGGAGAGAAGGAGGAATTTCTGCGGGTGGCTGAGGCCTTGCTGCCGTCGAGGGGAGAAGGGGGAAAGCTCAGCGGGCCAGCAAAGCACCGCACCCAGGGGAGGGAAGTTCGGCGAGCCAGCGATGCGCCGCCGCTGCTAGGGAGGGGGAAGCTTGGCGGGCCAAGGTCAGGCCTCGCCGTGGGTGCCGGGGACAGGACAGGGGAGAAGGCTCACCTGCAGCTGCTTCTCCCGTGGAGCATCCCCCCCCCGCGAGTATCACAGGTCCCCCTTCTTGTGGTAAACAATCTTATTTCAGGGCTTCTAAAACCTGGAATCCTTTAAATCAAACTCTATGAATGAGGTGGGGGGAAGGAATGAGGCAGGCTGTGCTTATACATCTCAAGGACAAACCTCTGCTATGATTTTTGAAGGAAGCTTTACTCTTTTTGTCCACCCAGCAAGTTAACAAAGTTCAGGAAACTCTATCAATTTTCTACCATGAAGAACAACACTCCAGTGAGAATGTTGGGGAAACAAAATTTCTTGAAACAAATGCATGTAACTATTGTGATCATTTCTGTAGATAGTTAAAAGGTTTTGTTAGTATTTGGGGAACTTGGACAAAGAAAAAAATTAAGAATATAAATCTGACACAGTGCTGTCAAGTGGCATTGATCCACAACCAAACATAAAACTATAGTCAACATCAAACATTCTTTCAATCCGTCCAACAGGTGCCATTCTATACTTTCTTGATATCCTCAGCTCTTAAACTGTTAATGAAAGGATATATTTTCTAAAGAAAATTACCTACTGGCATCAGTTGGCTTGGCTTAAAGCATTTCATTGCACTTCCTTTTAAAACAGTACTTACTACATGTCTCATTACTTTGTGAGAATTCATTATGTTATTTTTGTACCACTAGGGGCACACATCAGTTTATAAATACACAATGCTAAACTACACCGAGCAGCATATTTGCAAAGGCTGATTTTACTCAACTCTAAAGACTGATATAAAGTTTAGCTATCCTTAGTGGATCTGAACAACGCTAAACAGTGCTCAGATTCAAGGGGGGCTGGATACCCTATCTCTTGTGATAATTCCAAGAGGCTGTGATTTGTCAACAACCATTAAATTTCCCCATCTTTGAACACAGCAAGTAATACATGCAGAAACATTTAATTTGAATAGATTCTCTCAGTAATCTCAGTAATTCAGTTGTGTAAGCAATCCTGTGAGCTCAAGGCAAACTGAACAGAGGTGCTCCACAGGATATTTTACAAGCAAGTTTATTGTACAACTTGTTCCTACAAAGCACTGCCAAGAATTTGCTCAAGCACCGACAGCAAACTACTAAATATCTAATGGGTGCTTCTTGATTAAATTGTCTTGACTATTGCTAGAAAGACCTACATGCACCTGGGGCCTCTATTTGTTTGAGATATAGAAAGGGACACTCTAGCAGTGAGTAGGTAGTTTTAGCTGGGAATAGTTGTACCACAACCATGGTTTAGAGAACTTGATTAAAACAGACTTCTTCATGCAAATTTAGGAACATACCAGGTTTCACACTAATCAGTGTTTGCAGTAGTCACATATAATCCCAAACCTGTGTGCGCATAATTTGCGCATAAATTAAGGAGGGGAGGAGAAAAGTATGGCACAAACGATGCTGTAGCTCATCCCTGCTTGCTAAATCTGGGTTAAATCACTCTCCACCCTGGGACAATGTTATGCCAAAATAGCAAAAGGAAATTCCAAAACATGCAATTAAAAAAAAATTTTACCTTGACATTAAAACCAAAGAAGAAAAACAATGCAGAAGAAAAGGAAGCAGCAAAGTACTTTGTTCCTTGAGAAATTGGACATTACAGATTTTAGCTAGGAGGTAATTTTCACAACCAAGATATTATCTATGAAAATAGGGATTCCAAAGAAGAAATGCTTGCCGACTGGTAGAAAAACCTAATGTCACTTACAAGTGCTGTTACCCAGGTACTTTGCTCACCTAAGAAAGCAAACAGGAATGCCAAGGTAATTGTTAAGACCCTATCAGAAATGAATTTATGAATATCCAATGTAGAGCAGCACTAACAAACATGTGTGTTCAAAAGTGATTATATAATCATGACAACTTGTTACAACCAATCTTGAATTTCAGCAAAATATTTTTATCAGGAGAAAAGCTAATTAAAAATGCATGAGGGGGGCTTAATACACAACCTACTTAATTCAATAAGGTCTGTGTATCAGCATAAATCTCGGTGACATCTCTCAGTGCTGGTGTACTTACAGTTCTTCTTTCAGGTTCATTGCCTCTTCTGCATTATCATGTCGACAGCACAAATTTATTAAGGCGGCATAGCCACCAACAACCATGTCCGATTCATATCTGGCTTTCAGTTCAAGGGCTTTCTGCATATTCTGGAAGGAGCATTAAGTAAAAGAGAAAAGTCCACATGACATTTTGAATTCAAGCACTGGCTGTACATTTATCTATATAATGCATAGCCTCAATGCTGCTGGTTAAAAGCTTGTGTACTTTATATTTTCAAAGACAAATTACAGCTATTTTAGCCAGTGATCTGAACTCGGCCAATCAAAATCTTTGTTACGCAAGTGGCTTGTATAGTTTATAGGGAATCTCAGGTATATAATATTATTAAGGTTCTTATTTCTTGGTAAAATATCAACATACATATTGCTTTATATTTTTGTAAGTTTTAACTAAATTAAATAAAGTGTCAGACTTTTCAAAACCAAGGGACTATTTCCATATCCTTTTTAAGAAAGCTGCTTGGGCAGACATAATATAGCTTTAAAATACGATAGAGGTTCTGTTGCATACAAACAGAGGTCATGTTAAAGCTTTTGACAGCTTTTTGTTACTGTATACATGAAGACAAACACATCTGTATTTCTTTCATTACACAATACAAACTATAAGGTTAAGTAATATGCCTTGTTTTCTGTAAAATCATGGACATAATAGCGATACTATGCAAACACGAAATTAGACCAAAGCCTGGGAACACACAGCAAATTGCAGACCTACACAAAAATATGAACTACAGCTGGATGCCTGCTGATGAAAGCAAGAGCCTCTTTATCTCAGAAAGCTTTTCTCCAGCAGGAAAATGGAATTTCAATCCCCACATTAACCACCTTGTAATATTTGACTTGCAAATGACTATGCATGTATCAGTTGCTTGACAATCTAGATACAAGAGACCAGAGCCGTGGCTTGAAAGGACATTTGGCATGTATGATAAACCTATCACAGCTGTTACGATCATTCACTTTGCAGATTACCATTAACAAACCAGAGAACTCCCAAAACATGCCATTCATGGGGTAACTGAAATGATTTGACTTTTTACTTTAATTTGCTTTAATTTTGCACTTGGGTTTGATTTACAAGGGCCAAAACCTGAACCTTCAAAACAGTACACTTTTCCTTGCTCATCTATACTAATTCCTGCAAACTGAAATGAAGCCGAAGGACATATAACTGCATTTGCTCAAAATCATTTCTTATTAACACTGCTTTCCCTATCCCACCTACCTCTAGACTGTAAGCAGCTTAGGTCAGAGAATTGTCATTTGTTTACTTGTACTCTGTAAAAGGCCGTATGCATTGATGATGCTGTATAAATAAAGCCATTAACATCCATTTAAATACAATACCCAAACAGTAGCAATGCAAAACACAGCAGTATCAAAAGTTACCTCTTCTGAACAAAGATCAAATATGAGCTGCTTTAGAATATCTCCAACAGGCTGGTTCTCAGCTTTAAGCTGTGTAAGCTTTTCCTCCAACTCAGTCACTGAAAGTCCTACATACTAAGCAGGATAATGGGAAGATATCAAAATACATGTAGTTTCTTAGAACACATTTTTGGGGGAATCAATGAAGATATGAAAGGAATGAGAAAAGCAAGAATAAGTTCATTGTTAAATTCCAGTAGTAACAAAGTATGTTGTAGCATTTTTGTATTTTCTCTTTTGTACACTAGATACAAAATCCCCAAACACCAAACCGGATTCTCACTTCCCATGCACACACATCAAAATATAATGGCTTTGAAAAATGATTGTCCTATGCCTATCTCTGATAATTGTCCTAGGCAATCTAGAAGTTTGCACAATGGAGAACCTTCCACACTGGGTGTATCCCATCCTGCCTTCCCTCCTTCTGTGTGTAAGCCTCTCTACTCAGTAAAAAAACAAATGATGTGATCAAAGTAAGAGATATTTGAGCATCTTCCCTTTCTGATCAGTGGGGAACAAATACAACCCTAAAATCATTCTTGTGAAGCTATATTTTCTAAATAAGAAAATTGAGTCAAAAAGACTAATGCCCAAGAAGTTCAAGCCAGTTTCCAGGAAAGCCAAGAACACCATTTAGACATTCTCAGTAGAAAGTCAAATACTTCCATTGTTAATAACGCTACCCATAATATCTCCTAAAAAAAGGCCAAAATAACACAATAAAAATCACCGCCTTGGAAGCTATATCCTTGTTTTGGTGCTAATGAACTTATTTGATTTCTAACTCAGGAAACTGAATAGTTGCCGCCAGACTACTTACTTTTGCTATACCACCTTGTGAAAGCTTTTCTCTATCAGTCAATAAAACTGCATCCTAAAAAATAAGAACACATTTGAACATAAACACAAAAAGATTTATGATGCATTAATTTCTTAAGGAGAACAAATTCATGTTTCAGTAGTATTTCTAGCTACACTGTTACTTGTTACACCGTTTTCCTCATAGTTGGAGTTTTAAAAAATTCCCTACTTTCACAGCAATTTCCCCCCAAGATGTATAAGATTAGGATGCTTGTGTAGTTGAGGTAGGTACTTTACATTTTCCACAACAATGGAAATATGTACATATATTTCAGATTCACAGAGGAAAAAAGTTATTTACCACTACACACCTTAATTAATTCGGGAACATGGCAGCTGTCCAGTAAGTTGCGAATACCTCTGAAGATGTTGGGAGGGATTACTATATTCTGTACCAAGAGATGGAGAAAATTACATGAGTTTTAAAAACACAAACAAACTGAGATAATTTCCGTTAGACAAATTTCAGACATAATTTAAGTCTCCAGCACTTGCATGTCATTGAGAAGTGGTCTGGTTGTACTTAAAAGCTGCAATTTCAAATCTAATAGATACATGTCAGGCAGGACAGGCATTATGTAGCAAAAAATGAAATGGTACCATCTTCTTCAGCTGATGGAAGTATTGTCTCAACCGCTCCTCCTTGGCCTGTACCTCTGAGTCACTCATGCTGTCAATCAAGCTATAAAGAAAATAGCCAACAGCTTCTGCGGGAGGCGAAAAAAACACAAGAGAAAGCATTCCACTAAAATTACTGACACTGTCATGTTATCAAGATTAATTTATAAGAAATCATTTTGGTGTGAGATGTCACCCTGATGAGAGGCTCTGAAATGGCAACAATGATCACTGAGGCATAGAGATTATGTGGTTTGGGAGCACATATCTAACTGGTGAGTGAAAGGAATATTAATTATTTTCAAACCCAGTGACAGCTTTTCAGTACAAAATCTTTCTCCAATCTATTTTTCCCACTGCTGTGTGACAGAAGCAGTACTGCCCAAGGCCTCTTCCCCCCCCGCACTCCTCTGCCCACTACCCCAAAATAGTTGCCATAAATATTTTGTCATTTATTCAAAAGGAAATAAAGAAAGCTTCTGAGAGCATGGCGTACACAGTTTTTGCATATTCCACAGTATTTACAATGCTTTTTGCAGCCAGTGAGTGAACATGAATACAGTAAAGAGTATTAAATGATTTTTAACAACCAGATCCAATAATCCTGTGGAGAGCTGCTTATTAGCCAATGAAAATCAAGATTAACAAAAGATGCTGTATAGCTAACAGCACTAATTTTCTTCAGCACTCAAGCATAAAATGTATAGGAGCATCAGGAAAGCTAATGAGCTTTCCATAAGAGACCCCTATAGTGACATGCACCTTATTCTTTTAATTTCTTTTTAAAGCAGCATATTTGAGACACCAAGTGCCATTTTTGTTCTATTAGAGAAAACTCCAAAAATGAAGTATGTTTATATTACAAGAAGCTTTTGTTTAAATATTTTGATTATATTACGGCACAAATATTTCTATTTCACTTAACACACAAACATCTCTAAGTATGGGAAACATTTTTAATTAAAAAAGAAAAAAGTCACACAACTAAAACCTCATGGACTCTATAAAATATACTGCGATTATATGGATAAAGATTTTACCCAACATGTTTTCAAATTTCACTTTCAAAGAGAAGTAATCAGTGTTTACTGTTGTAATCCCTCAAGCCCATCATTACACAGAAGAACGGATTTGTGGATAAGTTACAATCATAGAAATTGAAACTCTACCAGTTGGTCCTGGAGGCGTCTGGCAATAACGTCCATCTTTGTACAACAGTTCTGTTATCTGGTAAGACAGAATAATCGTACATTGCAGCCAAGAGAAGCAAGCAAGGGCAAATAGTATCTGAAATTGAATTCTGCAAATAATAAAGCATCGCTTCACTAAGGTATTATTTATGCCACATCACAGCAATTCATTTTTTTTAAAGGAAGGCTTTTTTGGTAAATGTATTTTAAAAATACATATGTTGCACACCAGATGTTTTGGGAAGTGAAGCAATAAGAAACTCTTCATAATTCTTGTTCATGTATTTTATCCATATTAGTGAAAAGAAAAAAGATTGCTTTTGCTTAGAGCATTATTAACTATTGTTGTTTTGGAAATTAAGCACTAGGGAATAAAACTGGCACATGCTATATTACTATAAAATTTAAATATGTAAAAACTGTATATAAAGTGTCATGTCATTTTAACCAGGAACATCAAAGCAGACACCACACCAACGAAGTATCTCATATTTACAAGAACGACAGCATAGCTGGACTCAATACTAAAGGCACTTACTACACCCAAAGTATTTTTTTCAGACTTGGGTACGATCATACTGCAGCAAGCATTAGCTTTTATATGCCTAACAACTAACTGATCCAATAGTGGCCGAGTCTGACTTCAGGAGTAACAGATTTTGACTGTCAGCTGCCCCACCCTGCTCCAATATAGAGCAATTTGATCCTGAAAAGCATCCCCCTCCACGCACACTCCCTTCCCATCAGCAGTGGAGCTGTTTTTAAGTTGCTTGTAGCCTGCCTACACAGACAGCAGTTGTGGCTGCCATGCAACTGTGCAGCCCTCAATACCTATCAACCACCCAACCAGATTATCACAGTGCTGATGTCTTCTTCATACAAGCCGGGCAAGTGGCTGAAATGCTGTTCTCTGCCCCCACTCAAAAAAATGATTTTTTTTTACTGAAGGCAGCCTGTCTCCATTTGTACAAGCACAGTTGCGTATACTACAGAGGGCTGTTTTTGTTTTTCCTCAGAAACAACATGTGCAATATTTGTTTTTAAACTGGAATGAACAATGGAAACCAGACACTTGCTATGCTCTAGGCTTGCATTCAATTTCATAATAAGAAATCCAATAAGCACCTAAAATACAGGGCTTAATTTGTTACCATCTTAGACACTGCAATGAGTTTTTTTGGGGGGGGGACTACAATAAATGTTTTACCTTCCTACCAAAGTTAAGTTACAGTTATTAATCATAGTAGTTATAGATGAAGATTTTAAAATACATACAATTTATAGTCATGCTAACATAATTTTCATTTTAAAACACACTATTTTGCGATGTGAGTACATCCGTCTGCATTAATAGATATTACCCACTTCTTAATTTAGCAAAAACTTTGCATTGGCAAGAATCATGTGTATCTTGTTATCATCAATACAAGACTTTTAGAGAAGAACAACTGCTGGACCTACAACTTGATATCTAAATCATCACAATCCAGAGCATACAAAAGCCCTAGAAAATCTGTAAACCATGCACATCCAAAGCTCAAAATGTTAATCACAGAAACAGAAGAGAAAACATAAGAATATTGATAAAGTACATAATATAGATGCATGCAATACATTGCTGTTACACACTGATGCAAGCATGCTTTCTAAACCCGATTTGGTGCTCATTAGGGGAAGGCAACAAAAACTCATTTTAGTGCCAACTTGCTTATCACTACCAGTATCACCAGTATCGGGTTCTTATTTCTGAAGTATTTTTTTGTGAAATGGAAAAATCCTTTGCATATTTTGCTAGCTAACCTTTGCATATTTTGCTAATTCTCTGACTACTTCTTCTAGGGTACTTATGCTTCAGATTTTACATAGTAAAATTGTATGGGTCTACTCTGGGTTTTCTAAATGAGCCAGATTTGTTTCCTTACCCCATCCCACCCCTATTTTATACATACTGCATTATTAGCAGGGGAAAAAATACACTGCACTGTTTTTCTATGAAGCCACAAAGCTCAAGCATCTTTCAATTAAGGAGCTGATTAACAGTCAACATGCATGATCCAGCCAAAATCTAGTACTTTAAAGTCCTTTCAAATTCACTAGGAGATCAACGGCTTCTTAACTTAGGCTGAAGAGCACCCTTAAAAAATTTAAATAATGTATTTGACCAGATACAGTAATGTCAAGTCAGTCACTTTGGACTAAGACCATAAAGCTTTTGTGCATTTCAAGTATCTCTACTTATTTCAATCAGGCTTCACTTACCCGGCTCCAAAGATCTACATCATTAGACCTGTAGAGGGCAGCACAGGATAATAAATTAAATAGCAGAAACATTAATTTAGTTCCTTCTTTTACAACAGAATAGGTCAAGGAGTGTACTGGAGATGTACTGAAGACACTGATTTTGTACACATTTAAACAGAAATGTATTTGTACAACATAACATTTTAGAGTCTTTACAACTGCCACTGAAACAGCTGTGATGGCTATATTAAAACTATTATATTGATATTCTGACACATTTATGGAGAACAGTTTAGAAACAGCGTATAATATAAAGGTGCTGCACACACTCAAAAACAGAGAAAGCTGAAACTATAATTTTCTTTTTAAGGTCTTTTGATGTCTATCTCTAAAGGTTTCTGAGAGGCTTAACTACGGCAGTAAGCTGATGCTTATACTTTGGTATCCAGGTGGGGGAGCCATGTTGGTCTGAAGTAACAGAACAAAGTTTGAGTCCAGAGGCGCCCTCAAGTTCAATAAACGTATAAGCTTTTGTGTGCAAGCACACACGAAAGTTTATACCGTGAATAAAACTTCGTTGGCCTTAAAGGCCTCTCTGGATTCAAACTTTGGGTATCCAGTTAACTTGAGTAACTACCTAATGCCAGGGAAAGCATTGTACTTTCCAACATGTGAAGTCTAGTTCCTTAAAAGTAATGCAGAAAACACTTATTAATCCACATGATCGATCTGTTACTGCTAACATAACATAGGCATCTGGATCGAGGTGGCGTGGCGGCACTGGTGTTGTTAGATCTGTCGGCTGCGTTTGACACGGTCGACCACCAGTTGCTGGCCCGCCGCCTCGCCAACGTGGGGATTCATGGGCTTGCTCTTCAATGGTTTGCCTCTTTTCTACAAGGTCGGGGACAGAGGGTGGCGATCGGGGACCAGCGATCCCGAAGGCATCCCCTTGAGTGTGGGGTGCCCCAGGGAGCTGTGTTGTCCCCTATGTTGTTTAACATCTATATGCGCCCCCTCGCCCAGATTGCAAGGAGGTGTGGGCTTGGGTGTCATCAATATGCTGATGATACCCAGCTCTATCTGATGTTAGTCGGCCAGTTGGACTCTGGTCCCGATGACCTTCATTGGATGTTGCAAGCTGTGGCTGGTTGGCTCAGACAGTCAGTTGAAATTAAACCCGGCAAAGACGGAGCTCCTGGGCCTGAGTCGGACCGGTCTGGGGTTGGGGCTCCCTCTCCCGGCCTTGAACGGGGTGCCGTTGGTGCCTCCGCAGGAGGTTAAGAGCCTGGGGGTGCTCCTGGACTCCTCGTTAATAATGGAGGCCCAGGTGGCAACCACTGCCAGGGCGGCCTTTTACCATCTGCGGCTGGCTTGGCAGTTGGTCCCCTACCTTGACCGTGAAGACCTGGCCACTATGATCCATGCGACGGTCACCTCGAGGCTTGACTACTGTAACGCTCTCTACTTAGGGCTGCCTCTGTCGCAAATCCGGAAGCTGCAGCTAGTACAGAATGCTGCGGCCAGGCTGTTGATGGGCCTCTCTAGGCGAGACCACATCCAGCCTGGGCTGCAAGCGCTGCACTGGCTGCCAATAGTATACCGGATTCGCTTCAAAGTGCTGGTTCTTACCTTTAAAGCCCTAAATGGCCGGGGTCCGGCTTACCTGAAGGACCGCCTGTCCCCGTATGTTCCCCCAAGAGCACTACAATCAGGGAGTCTCCATCTCCTGAAAGTTCCAGGCCCCCGAGAGTTTAAGTTTGCCCCTACTAGGGCCAGGGTGTTTTCGGTGGCGGCTCCTACCTGGTGGAACAAGCTCCCAGAGGAGATCTGGGCCCTGCGGGACCTTATGCAGTTCCGCAGAGCCTGTAAGATGAAGCTCTTCCGCCAGGCTTTCGAGTAGGAGCCACCGCCGCCACTATCCCACCCCCGTGGTAGTGCTTAATCGTCTGCCCCTATCATCGGGGGCAAGCATCACCTGGCAGAAGCGCATAGAGCAGCGCTGCGGGAGACCGCGTTATTGAGATAGCTGGCCGCCGAATTGGGTTCATTGTTCCCCGTCTTGGGTGATTTACGTAGGAAGATCAGAGCACCTTGATTATTGTATGGATTTTATTGTGGTTTTAAATGTTGTGTATTTTATTGTATTTTATCTATTCAACCCAGCTTTGCCATATGTTAGCCGCCCTGAGCCATTGGGAGGGCAAGATACAAATCTAAAAATAAATAAAATAATTAAATAAACAAACAAATAAATAAAATACTCTGATTAATCATTCAACATGATCACAGAAATAAACAAGATTTCACATACTCCCTTTTAAAATAGTTTTTTGAGCCAATGGTATAACTGTAATCTATTTGTGTTTTAACAAAATTTAGACAACATTTTAAAGAGTCATCTATTCATATTATTTAGTATTGACAGCTATGCTTCATATTATTCAAAATACAGTATATGAAATATACAACTCCTCTTCATTCCCACAAATTGTGAGGGATTATAAAAATTTCATTTCTATGTATTAAAAAAATCATTATTGCTTTGTGTGAATTCTGCCTGACACATAAAGATCTCAGATTCAAGTCTTGGGAACCAGAGAGAACTCTGCCAAAATGTGCCTTACCCCCACTCCAACAAAATGCTATGATATTGAGACAACAGATGTAGAAGTCTTTCTCTGGCTGTAAATAAAAACCTAACAAGGTGGCAAATGTACATGCCTAATATAAAAGCTGTAGTTCCCAGTTTAAAGAAACACAACACCACTGCAAATATGTACTACAAATGAGGAACCTGCATGGATTTGCTGAGAGGTAGTATCTCATTTTGTCTTTTCACACTATTTCTTCTTTCTCTTTCCTGAAAGCCCCCATAACCTCCCCCCCTTTCCTGCTTCGTTCTCTCCTTCCCACTCATGAGCCAAACAACCTTTATCTGACCCCATATCTTCAGTTCCCCCCCTCCCCTCCCCTGGCAGTACCTCCCAAGAAAAGGTTGGGCCCAGTTGTATGGTGTAGTGCCTAGGGTTGCCAAGGTCCCTTAGCTTGCAGGTGGGGGGGTGGGGGTGTTCTGGGGGTGGGCCGAGACATCCCCAACATGGTGATGTCATGTGGAAGTGACATCATCATGTTGGGGACATCGCACAATGACGCTCTCCATTCTGGCAAAACTCTATGGGTTTTTTGGCCTAAAACCATAGAACATTGCCCTAAAAACAGAGCTTTGCCGCACAACATCCCAACATGATGACATTACTTCCACACGATGGCATCACACCTATTTCAGGGTAGGGCTTCCCCTGCCAGCCAGCTGGCCAACAGCAAACAGAAGCTCCAAAAATCAGGGGAACCCCCACCCGAATTGGGGTTCTGGCAACCCTAGTGAGGCCAGGCCCAGTTGCACAGGGCCAGGATCCAAACCTGGGTCTCCCAGATCCCAATTTGAAATTCTAACCACTACCCACAGTGGCTGCTTGTTGGATAGTAATGAGCAGCTGGGCAGACCAAAGTAAGCCTGGAAAGTGCCGTACCCCTCTCACCGCCTTTTACTGAAAGAACCAAAGCTTGAAGGTTAGCAATAGTAGGGTTGTGGCGCAATCCCAACAATGGCAACTTCACAAATTTCTTAACAGGCACTGCTTCTATTATTTTGGGTCCCCCCCCCTTTCTTAGGTTTCAGACTATTTTGCAAACACTGGACTTCTGTAAGGATTGTATAAAGACATATATTTCTATTTATAGCTCCAAAATCCAGATTTAAGTATCCACACATAGAGCTACCTTAAGAATCTCTCTATATAGTAATTGTCATTTGGGGTGGTGCTTTTGTGAACACACTCCTAAATCAGTTGGCTCCATGATGTGTCACTCAGAACATGTCACTATCCACTGGCTGCGTTGCGTGAGTCCCGCCCACAGAAGCAGCACCTGCCAAAATTTACCTCAGAAGACGCTGATGCTGTGCCTGCCCCCCTCAGAAGACCGAGACTCCAGCCCTGTCACTTCCCGCTGATTCTGGCCCTGCTGCTTCGTGCTGTTGCTGCGCCTGGCCTCGGCCTGTACTGAAGCCGGTGCCTATGGGCAGTGCATGCCGCTGCCTGCCCCTGCCCGCCACCCACTGCTCATTTCGGAAGAGGAGCCACACTCTACCTGCCCCACTTCAGACACCCCGCTGCATCAAAAAAAGCCCGCCCCTGCCGGATCCCAGTTTTACTTCCCTGCGGCCTACCAGCGGCCTCTCGGGGACAAGCACCTGGTAGGTGGGTGGGTTCGTGGGTGGGAGGTGGGGAGCGGGGCACGCATCAGGGGTCATCTCCTCCGCCCCAAATGGAGGAAGCTCTCCTGTCCACCGGGAAGCTGCTCCGCCATTCCAAGGAGCCACCACCGCCATGTCAAAAAAAAACCCTGCCCCCGCCAGATCCCATTTTTGGGTCCCTGTGGCTTACCAGTGGCCTGTCAGGGACAAGCACCTGGTGGGTGGAAGGCGGGAAGCCAGGCCCGCACCAGGGGCCCTCTCCTCCACCCATTGGCCAGCCCGCTTCCAAGAGGGGAGGGAGCTCTCCCTTCTACCGAGCAGCTGCTCCTGATGCTGCTGCTTGCCACCTGCCCTTCTGCTGCCGCCAGCGGCAGTTGCCCTGTCCGCTGCTCCAGGGACCTCATGGAGTGCTGGGTCGCTGCCCGCCCCACCTCCTGCTGTCCCAGAGCCACACCACACTGTCCCGCCATGGAATACAACACTGGGAGAACACTGGGGGAACAACGGACAATTGCCAAACCCTCCACAGACATGCATCGCCACATTTACGCCCCCCCCAGAGTGAAAGGCCTGGGACACAGCCGGGGGGGGAATCAGTGTGGGTATGGGTGTTGTGTGGTGCGGGGAGGGAGGGGGAAACCAGTTCGAAGGATGTAGGTACCACCATTGTTTCTGAGCAACCCCCCCCCCCCAAAAAAAAGCCAATTGTATAAATGAGTGCAGAGAACAGTATGGGCTGACGGGAACAACTTGCTCCTCTACAGTACAGAATATGATTTGCATGCAGA